ATACATAACCTCCTTGGTGGCGGTAGAAATCGTTGCTATTATCCAAATAATACACAAAACAATTAAAGCATAATCATGAATCAGTAAAGAATAAAACAACAATAAAGCGCAGAATCGCATGGCCGGACACACACTTAGTGAAAAAGTTTTCCTCCATTAGTGGAAAAGGAAGGGCGCCTTTTGCGTCTGGATATACTTAACAACAGAAGGGCGCCCTGTACGTTGGGCACGAAGTATAGGAAACTTGCATGGTTAAAAAGAAGGGCGCCGCCTACGACTTCCGCCTCATTTTTACAATGCGAGAACTCTATCTTGTATTTCTAGTATCTTTGTATTTTATATTATTGTAAAAAAATTACTATTTGATAAATTGTAAACATAAACTTTAGAGTAGTAAAACTCATGAAAATATTCATGAAAAAGCATTAGAAGCGAGTAACCAGCGATCAGCTTTATATAATTACAATTCTTGTGGGAATGATACTGGATGAATGTATACGTTTAATAATTTTTATTTTTTTATTCTATTTTATTAATTTTTACCTAGTTACCCCGGGCCTCTGCAGGAACCGGACCACGGGGCACATGTCCCGGTTACTCCGGCCTCTTGGCGCCACTGAGAGTAGCACAAATATTCGTATGACAAATTATGAATAACCTGCAAAACTATAAAGAGCTCAAGGGCTAAAAACAACAAAAAATGAGACAAAGGACTTTTGATGTGACAATTACATTTTTGAGCAAATTTATTATAGTTTCGGCTTTATTTAATTATTGTAATCTAGTGTTAAAACCCTTATAGAATTTGAAACGTATTGAATTGAATACAATATAGGAAGGATTGAGAAATAGGCATATACAGTATACTGTTGGGTTTTCCATCTGCGTTCGTGTACTGTACCACCTCGAACTCGCAGAGTCACATAACCTGATCACAGTGTACAGTTTTCTTCAGGATGACCCCAGTGAGGATATGTTTAATGACGTTGAAGACGCTTTTGGCTAGTTTAGCAGTATTAGATTGGAAAAGGATTATAATAAAATGTATGAGTGAGAAGTCAACCACTACTCATTTTATATTATTAATTATATTATTGTTTATATTATTATTATTATTATTATTATTATTATTATTATTATTATCACTATTATTATTATTAATACTAGTAATTACAATAATCATTTTATATCTTTAAAAAGTGTGTAAATTAAGAACAAAGAACATTTTGAGCCTGAAATCGGCCAAAAAGTAAGAGCATTGAAACTAGGCAAAATTGTTTTTTTTTTTTTTTTTAATGTAATTAAAGTCAGTGTACTGAGTACTAAATTAAAAGTTGGTACTGTCATTGGAATAGGCATATTTATAGGCCTACTTGTCTTATTATTACAACTTTGTGTCAAATTGGCAGTAATTAATAGCAATACTTTTAGACTTAAATTAGACTTAATTATTATTAGTCATTTATTAATCACCATTATTGATAATTATTAATAATAAGTATTATTCAACTTTTTGAGTAATATTTGTATATACGGTTAAATAAGTTATTTAAAAATATAATATAAACAAAATATAATTTGAAATTATGTTTAAATCAATTTTTCAGATATCTAAAATTACAATTAGTAGTAGTAAAAATAATTTATACATCAAAAATTATTATTGCCAAAGGTTTGTATTTCTTTCTACTGTCTAAATGTATCTATTATTGTATTTGTGTGGAACTCTTTATAGGGCCTATTTATATTTTTTATAGTATTAGCATTATACATAACATAATTGATTGTATTTGGTACGTTTGTAATTTTGTAAAGGTTGTAAATAATTTTTTTGTAACTCTATATAGTATTTTAATATGCATTTTGTTGTAATCATTTTATTGTAATACAAACAGTTTTGGCCTTGTGATACCGTTTTTGTAGATTTTTTACTGTAATCAATATTTAAAATGAAAAATAAAAATAGTAGTAATAATTATTTTGAATAAAATGCCAGAAGAACACTAACTTAACCATTATTACAATTTTAATGATTCTTATTGGTTGATAAAAACACAAATGAAGGGCTTCGTTGTACTATACGATCAACTAATTCACTTTGAAGGGGAAGACTTTTGTCATTCATTACAGAACTATTTACTAGCTAATCGATCAGAGTAAAAAGCGAGTCCACCGACAGCTAACTCGAATTGATAATCCTCTCAACTCTTTTTTTTTATAAAACGATCTACAGCCTTACCATGGTTAGGCCTGAGTTGAGCAGATTTTAAGAATAGGTCCCTCTAGACGCCCGGAAATGGCACTCACAAATGGTAAAAATGTTTTTCAAGAAAACACTTTTCTTGGACAAAATTATTGACTTCCTTCCGACGGGACCTATGCTTCCCCTTAAACACCCCTCCCCTAACGGGGTTGCAAAGGTCTAATCAAGGACATATAGTCTATTCTATAGGCCTACTGGGAGTAGCAAATATAATTATGGCACCTCTGATGCCCGGAAATGGCATTAATTGAGACTAAATTTGAATATTTTATCTCCATTTATTAAAAATGTTGACAATGTACGGGGGTCCTGAGTGGTTGGGCACCCTACCCAACTGGATTAATATTATATATAGTCGATTTCAGACACACATTATGCTGTTATGTATCAACAAAGCATTTTTGGATCAGGGGGAGCTTTAGGGAGGACATCTGTTGAACCCTATGGGTAGGGGAACCGAAGGGGTCCTCTAAGGGTCAATGGCCCTACAGCCGCCGCACGAGAGCGCATATGCGTTACGGTTACGGCACTGAATATGGATAGCTGCTGTTCTTTAGCTGTGTACTACATTCCATAATAATAGCTAAAAAACTCAGTCTTAGGTCTCCGTCTTTTGGCCTTTTTTACATCCTGATATATGAAATCGTTGAAGAAAAGTCGGCTTCGGGATATGACGTTGTGTTCGTCCTCTATCAATAGAAAATTTCAAATTTAGTGAGTGGTAAAATAATCGAGCTCTCCTTTCGCCCATTGCTGGATCCGCCACTGAACTCATGGTGTCACTTCACTTTTTCCCTCTTTCCTCCCTTTAACACTTCTCATTTTTTTCTCCGTCACTTTTTATTTTCCAGCGAGACTGACGAGGGGTGGGGGAGGGCTACTAATATTTTCTTATTCTTCCGAAAAATTTTATCTATCAAGTCTATTAAGAAATGGTTTAGTTTTATGGTGGCATATTCAGTAATCTACTACTTTGTGTTTTAACATTTTCCTATTTTGTTTTTATAAACTTCTTTGCTTTTACGAATTGCAGATTTTAGCTCTTTCCTAATTAATTTCAGTTGTTTTTTTCCAATCTTATAAGCTATTTTCTTTTTATTAATTATCTGTTTTACACTTGGCTTGTAAATTGTATATGATACTTGTAATAATAATATCAATAACAATAATAATAATAATAATAACAATAATATATTGTTATATCATTAATGTCATAATTATGCGCTTCAATGAACATCGCAAGTGGGCGGGCTTAGATTAAAATATTAAAACTCATTTTAAAATATTTCTGGTTAAAAATATTAATAACTTCAACCACGTATGTGTTAAGAATTTTTACTTCTTTCATAATCAGGAATTCAAATGTCTATATCTTTGTTATTATTTAAGATAACTTATATGTAAATATGCAATAAACTTCAGAAACGTTTCGAAATTTAACTTTATTTGTCCTTTCGGAAAATAATTTGGACAATAAGATAGTAACTTCTATTATAGATATAATCACTAGTGAATTCAACAATATATATTCATGGACCACACAATGAACTTTCTCGGCGTGTCAATCAAGCTTAACACATGGCCAAACGGAACCGTTCTAGAAACGGGATTGTGGCACTTCAGAAGCACATGTGCTGTTCCACAAACGCACGTGTATTCGTATACTTTTATTGACGTTTTTATGGAGCTTTTAGCATCAGTATCCAAGAGACAGGCTTGGCGGAAAGGTTCATTTAATCCAAAGATATTAATGTTGCTAATACAAATGGACTTCCATGTCATATAACTAATTTAAGTATTGTCTCCATAATTATAATGTGATAGTTATATAATTACTGGTACTCACATTTCTTTTAAAAACATATCTTATTTTTACATAAATTTTAATAATATTCAAAATACATAGGCCTATAACTGTAAATGTAATACAGTATTATATTCAAACTCCATTATGTAGTCCTAATCCTTTATTCATGAAAACTTTATCAGACGCCAAACTCTAGGCATACTAAGATGTTTAAAGTGACAAATTTGTGTGAATAACTCATAACATGGGCATGATGATATACCACATCCATATATGGACATAATGATGCCATATCATATCCATATATGGACATGATGATGCCCTATCACACCCATATATAGACATGATGCTCATACAACATCCCTATATGGAAATGATGGATCATTCAACATCCATACTGTCTACGGACATTAGGATGTCATGTCACATCCATATATGGGCATGATGATGTCATATCACATCCATATATGGACACCATGATGCCTTATCACATTCATATATACACATGGTGATTATACAACATCCATATATGAGCATGATGATAAAATATGTATGAACATGGTGATGTCATATCACATCCATTATGAACATGTTGATTTCATATTACATCCATATGTGGATATCATGGTCTCGTATCACATCCATATGGACATGATGATGTCATATTACATCCATATATGGACATGTTGATGTCATATAATACCCATTATGGGCAATTCACAGTTATTTTTCAAATTAAAATTGATAGTGTTGATAAAGAGTTTTAGCCGTCGAAACTGTATAATACCTATTCATACTCAAATACAAGTCCCGTTCCTTTTAGGTAATTCCTTATTATTTCATCATATGCTGCACTCTGAGATACGGTAAATGTGCACTTCCAATCACCAACAATACCTGAATGATAAACAAAATAAATCATCATATCATATCTTCACCAATTGATATCATCATCACTATGGTCAACTTTCATGATAATTACCACCACCACCACCACTTTGATGACACTAAATTTTATTAGCTTCCATACTCGATTTCTTTTTACTCAACTTAATTCGCTCGTTGATGGCACTGTCCACTAGGAGGGCGCTGGCTAGAAGGGAGTGGGGTGGGGGGAACTTTGTGAGGAAAGGTGCTACTCTTAAGTTAAGTGCTTAACTCTTAAGGAAATATTCCATTTCTACGGAAATTATAATTTCGTCCAACTTAATTATAAAAACCCAATTATTCTCAAAATACAGTCAGTATGTAGGCCAAATGTCTGCTGGCTACGGTAAACTCCATGTGACCTCATGATGGAGTGCGAGATGCATAAAAAATATAGTGATTATTCGCAATACGACAGAGATGTTTATCAGATTAACTAATTTATTTATGTTTTTATATTTTACGTGTTTATTTTTATTGTCATTATACTTTGGTATATATTGTATACAAATATGTAAATATATATATACTAATAATTAAAAGAAAAAATTACGATTTACTTTTCTAAATAAAATGAAAGAAACTTTTGAATTATGCATTTATTTGGTTTTATTTTCGAGTAACTGCCAATAACATAATTTTCATACATTTTCTGTCCGTCCTCTAACCCTGTTTTTTTGCGAATGTCCCTCTTCGTCTCCTTGCCTTGCCCATCCTGATATATAAAATTCCCTTTTTATTGGCTTGCCGAAGAGTTCTTTACACCGTCTCCAGTTGCTGCAGAACAGATCCGCCAGAATTATAACTGAGACGAGGAAATTTGACCACATTACTCCAATTCTACAACAATTGCACTGGCTGCCTGTGTATTATATGGTCGTTTTTAAGATCCTTTTAATCACGTATAAAACGCTAAACGGTGAAGGTCCAGAGTATTTACGTAGTCTCTTGGTGTGGCATGTGCCATCACGAAATCTTCGTTCAGGTGATAGACGATTGCTGGTTGAGCCCAGGTTTACGAGGTCATGGGGTGACAGATCTTTTGTAGTTGCGGCCTCCCGTTTGTGGAACAGATTACCTCTTGAAATAAGATCAAGTTCGTCGACTGCTTTGTTCAAACGTGCTCTGAAAACACATCTATTTTTTGTTGCTCAAGGAAATTAATTTATTGTGAATTGATTTTTTTTTTGTTTTGTTCTTTAATTTGTTTAGTTAGATGACCACAAAACTGAGAACACCTGTGAGT